TCACCGCAACCTCCGCCTCCTGGGTTCAGGCAATTCTCCTGCCTCAGCCTCCTGAGTAGCTGGGATTACAGGCACGCGCCACCATGCACAGCTGATTTTTTTTGTATTTTTAGTAGAGACGGGGTTTCACCATGTTGACCAGGATGGTCTCGATCTCATGACCTCGTGATCCACCTGCCTCGGCCTCCCAAAGTGCTGGGTTTACAGGTGTGAGCCATTGCGCCCAGCCCATTCTCTGTTTTATTAACCATGGCTCATACCTTTTTGTAGGATGCTAATAAACACTGCAGTTGAAATACTGGAAAGGTTCTAGAAGATGTTATTTTTCCCGGTAACAGAGTTACATTTTCAACTGGCAGAGAGAATATAATAAGAAGATATCCCCGATCATGCAGAGAGTTGCTTTTGACTTTGTAAGGGTTGTCTGTTTTAATTTTGCACTTACTACTCAGGGCATGATCCTTGTAGGATTTCAATGGAAAGCCTGAGTCACTTACCAAGCCTTTCAAACATTTTGAATGTGAATTCCAATCTCTTACTTCTGTTCTTGTTAAGGTCACCAATAACCCCACGTTATCCAATACAGAAAACACTTTTCCATCCTCATCTTAACCTTTCAGAGAAGTACCTGACAGTGACTGTTCTTTCTAAGGTAGCTACTATTGGTTCAATAAACACTGATTTCCAACTACTTTACTTTTTCTTGCTTCCATCATGAAGGACAAATAGCTAAATAATGAATCTCCTACTACTCAAATCAAATAGTTCCTGAACTTCAGAAAGTAAGTGGTCTGAGTTGGAAGAATAAGAATCTGGTTAGTGAAGACCACCTGCACCTGCTTTTCAAGCCTTCCTAATAGCCAGAAAGCGGCTATGTGAAATAGTTCCAAATCTGCTGGTATTCCTGGAAGGCTTTTGCTTTTCCAGAGAAAAAGACAAGACACACAGTCCTGTCTCCTCCCTTCCTTCCAGCTTTAAGTAAAGATGTGACAGAGATGATGTTTCTAAATAATTATCATCCCAGTCACACAAAAACCTTAAAAACCTATGCCATCTAGCATCTAGCTATATCCTCCTTGTTCTATCATCAGGCAACACCTAATACTCTGCCTATACCTCATTATTTAATGAACACAAGAAGGCCTGGTTCCTGACCCCAAATTCCATTGCATCCTTATTAAAGGATCCACCCAAATCCCTAGTATGAATTTCAGTTCCTTGAAATCTTCAGTTACCTTTACTTGTACCATTCCCTATTGCTACACACTCTCATGGGCATATCCTTACCATATCAACTGCAACCTGTAAAATACTTATTTTGAATATTTTTCCTCTTTGAGTTGCTTCTCACATCCACCCCGACATTCACTCTATAACTACCTTACAAATGCTTTAATTACCTTGCTATTACCTCCATCCCCTTACCATTCTATTTTTCTCATATATAAGTGCCCCCTCCAGAATTAGCCAATTAACAGAGTTTACAAATAATTATGAAATCCATATAATGTGAAAGGAGCAAGACTACAAGGGAAAACCAGACACAGCACAGACTTCAAAGAACTTAATATCATGGTAGTGCAAAGAGATACCAATACAAGAACCAAACCCAAAAATATTTAAAAGTTGTGATAAATTTTAAAAAGTTAAGGCATCGATTAAGAGAATAATATAGGTAGGAGGATGGGGCAGGCCAATGAAGGCTTCTTCTAGGACGTGATGTTTGAGCCAAGCCCTTGAGGATGAGAAGAGTAGCTGACAGAAGAGCACGTTGCACAGAAAGGAAAACATGCAAAGGCCCCTTCTCTGTGATGTACCCTCTGTCCCTTTCCCTTTCCTGTTCTCACTGTGCTGGTCTTCTATATCTCGGCCAGGCTCTTACTCAAACCACTGTACTCTTTCTTGCCCTCATCTTCTATCTTTCCTTCCTTCTTTCCCCTACAGTTTCTCTCTTTCCCCTTTAGCCAGCACATAATATAGAACTAAAGATTGGTTTAATAATTTTTACACTTGATCTTTAATGGTTTAATAATTTTTAAATTATTATAAGAAAATTAACTTATATATTAACTTTTAAAAGTAGCCTGAATGTGTAATATTTTCTTTAATTGAAAATCTGCAAAATTTCATTTTGTGCCACTCAACTGATTTTCTTCCTTGTGAATCAGTGTAATTTTACCAGAGTGAAAAGCAAACATGCATAATTCAGCTGATGATAAGTAAAATAAAGTTCAATGTCACATAATTACTTTTACAATAGTTTTCTGGCATGTAAACTAAAACCAAACCTAACTTAACCAAATGCTATGGGACAGATTGTCCCTAAGCATTCATAAAAATATTAAATATTTTGTTTATCCTTTAGATAGCTATAAATCTGTTCCAAGATTTTAAATAAGTATAATCGTAGAAAAAACCTCATAGTTCCAAAGTGATGGCTTCTATAAAGTTCCACTAGAATGTTACATTTAGTAATATTAGTGTATAATATCTTTAAAGCATCCATACCTTGTTGTCTTCCCAATAAAGTGCAAAACATTCATCTCCAGGTTTCCACATTTTTGCATACTCCATAGGAATAGATGATTCTAGTATTTTTTCTGGCTTAATTGGCCCAGATCTTCTTTTGGGCCCACTATTGTAAAATATTTTATCATCATAGGGTATAGCTGTGATAGGTCCTGCAGGCTTAATAGGTCCTATTCGTCTTCCTTTCAGCGGCATTTCTACCTCTCCATTTGGAACACCGGTGAAACTATTACTTCGAACTGGATTCTGATAATCAGTATTTACATTAAAATGTTTTTCAATTTTTAGACCACTGAAAGCTTCATTATTTATTGTTCGTGATTTCCTGTCATAAAAATGATCAGGATTAGATGTTTGGTTTTCTCTTTTTCCACGTTTTTGATTATTATAATCTATAGATTCTTGAGGAAGTGGATTTTCTTTTGCATCTGCATAGGAGGGACCTTTTCCTGATCTGCTTTGCATAGAGTTATCTCTTTTTTTAAAAGCACCATCACTATGCTGAGAACGTAAAGGATACGAAGTATCTTTAGTTCTGTCATATCTAGAAAATGGTCTATCGCATTTGATTCTGTCTTCGGCCCATACTTCAGATGCTGAAGAAGTACTTGGTCTTTCAGATCCTCTATTTCTAGGTAATCCACTGCCTTCTAAAACTGACTTTGAATTTTGAGAGTCTCTTTGAAAACGAGGCGGTTTTTCATTTCTTGGCTGCCTGGTATCATTTCGAGGAAGAAATCTCAGTTGATTAATATCTTTTATTCCATTTTGCTCAGTATTTGATGATCTGTATTGTCCCTGATGAAGCTGCTGTGGCTGTGATTTAGGTTCTGAAAGGTAAAAATATACCATATGCACATTAACATGAAGACTCTGCATTAATAATTATTTTAAAATGCTTTAAATTATTCTGTTAATACAAAATTATCACACTACTAGTTTAAAATTTTTGTCAATTTTCCTACCTTATTATCTTACTCCTTCTCTGCTTCCTTGGAGTCCTGTATTTCTAATGTACAGTTTTCTTAGTCAGCAATATTAATAAAGTAAAACAGTAAAATGGACTACAGAAAAATGATGGATAATCTTAACTCTTATAATACAGCTGCCTACATATGCTATTCTGGTAAATCATTTCCTAAAACATTAATGAGGTCGGGTGTGGTGGCTCACGCCTGTAATCCCAGAACTTTGGGAGGCCAAGGTGGGCGGATCACCAGAGGTCAGGAGACTGAGACCATCCTGGCTAACATGGTGAAACCCTGACTCTACTAAAAAATTAGCTGGGCGTGGTGGCATGCACCTGTAGTCCCAGCTACTCAGGAGGCTGAGGCAGGACAATCACTTGAACCTGGTAGGCAGAGGCTGCAATAAGCCAAGATCCTGCCACTGCACTCCAGCCTGAGTTACAGAGAGACTCAGTCTCAAAAACAAACAAACAAAAAAAATTAATGAAATAGAACTGCAAATTGCTAACTCAAAAACTACTATGAAACTGCAGAAGTACAACACTCTAATTTAGAAATATATAGCTATTATCAATCATGTTCTAGCCTTTGCAAACATGTTCCTTTTCAAATCTTTCTGGATCTGGAATTGCTAAGTGTTTATGTTACAAACAGATATCCTACTATTAAAAAAGAGTAAGAGTTACTTTTCTTGATCTGTCAAAGTAATTAAGAAATAGTAGGTATTATTTAGAAATACAGAAAAAAGTGTCAAAAGTGGAAATACTGAAAAAGTGTCAGAAACATTACTAAGCATAATAGTGCTTATAATGTACAAGCAGTGACATGATAAACATATATAGAAAATTTTTAATGGCTGAATTTCACAGTGATTTTTATTGATTCAATTTGTACCATGTCATTTATACTTTCTTCCTCCATCATTTCACATCGCATGTCTATAACATTATTACCAAACATATTAATTGATCTTTGGTGCATATGTCTTGTTTCTGTCATCATATATCATAATCAACACGCAGCTGTAATTATTCTTATATTTACCCAGGGTCACAACATTTTCAAAGAGAGCCTCTACTGACATCTTGGGTGAGACTGTTTCTACAGATGCAAGGAAATTAACTGCAAGAAAATTAACTTATTTGGCCTACAGATACGAAATGCCCCTAGCCTTCCCAGGAACTCTGACTATCAAAACTGTCCCCAAACATTCCCAAACAGCCACTGGAGGCCAAAAGGTATCTGGTAAATTGTTTAAAACAACAGGAGTAAACAGGTTTAAACAACAGGTTTAAAGGTTACTGAGTGACAAAACAGGTAACCAATTAAAGATCAAGACGCAAGTGGTCAGGCCAGGCATGGTAGCTCACATCTGTAATCCCAGCACTTTGGGAGGCTGAGGTGGGTATATCACTTGAGGCCAAGAGTTTGAGACCAGCCTGGGCAATGTGGCGAAATCTTGTCTCTACTAAAAATACAAAAATTAGCTGGGTGTGGTGGTGCACACCTGTAATCCCAGCTACTCTGGAAGCTGAGGCAGAAGAATCACTTGAACCTGGGAGGCGGAGGTTGCAGTGAGACGAGACCATGCCACTGCACTCCAGCCTGGGTGACAGAGCAAAAAACTCTGTCTCAAAAAAGAAAAAAAAAGAGAGACTCAAAGTGGTCCAAAAAACTCCTTCTCAACAGAACCAATGGAAGCTAGAAGCCAAAAGGGTTTAAAAACCTTTAAAATTATAGGAGATTGTCTAAGGAAAAAAATTAATCCAGTCAAACCACCCCTTAATCGTGACAAAGAATAAAGATTTTTCTAAGATACAAGATTTCAAAAATTAGCCAAGGCCATAAGAGATATCTTAAAAAAATAAAAATAAAAAACGCTTTTCCCCAAGAATAAATCTGCCTTACAAACTTAACACAAATGTCTTATTTTAAAAAATGTAGTCAATATTAAATTTTTCTTCAGAGAGAAGAAAAATGGTCACTTTTAGTTTCTGCTGGCATTGTTTATTGTCCAGGAGTAAGGATTCTGGGAAGAACAGCGGTGACCATAATCAGGACGCAAACAAGCACTTTCAGCAGAAGGCATGTATTGGCTTTTGTTGTAGACATTGTTGGAGAATAAAAGCAGCAGTTGCCTCCTGTTGATTATCTGCTATGTATCAGGTAGCCCACACTAGCACTTTATATACATTATCAATAGACCCCTAGGTAGTTTTATGATACAGGTGTTATGAAGCTTAACAGAGAGAGGTAAAGTAAGGTCCCTTGTATAGTACATTGAATAAGTAACTGTTTAGGGGTCAACTTTTCCTAAATTATTCCAGTTAGGGCCACCAATATCTATGATAATCAGGAGGTACAGAAAAAATTAAGATACCACGAAAGTAATAAGTATCCTGGACTACGGATGAAGGCTGAATAACGATGTACACAGAATGAAAGTTCAACCAGGCTAGGCAGGTGTGGCAGAATTTGATTTCAATTCTTCGAAAAGGAAAATATGAAAAATTTCCTAATCTACAATTTAGAATTAAGGGGTATTTCCATACACACATATAGTTTAAAAGTGAAGAGATGAAAGAAGATGTACCATGCTAAGAAAAAAAAAAGAATTAAGGGGTACTACAAATCTACGGAACTATCCTGGAGACCCATATTAATAGGAAAATGTAAAATTTCTTCATTTGGTTCCAGATCCAAATTACTTAAAGAATTTCTGATTTTTTAAATTATTGTTTTTACTAACATTTAACACTTTCATTTACGTACTCGAGCAGTCTTATATAAAAAGTACTATGTCAGAAAAGAGAATGACAAATTCCCTAACAGCTTATTATTTAACAAATAAACAAGCTTAGGAAACTTCTGATAGTAAAGAGGAAAAATCATTCCACTTAGAACTTAAGATAGTATTTTCAGTTACTGAATTGATGATGATATACATTAGACTATAGAATAAAAGAAGTAATTTTGTTAATAATGAACATACCTCATTTCCCTTATTATGCTGAGATAATAGAGTAAAATTTATAAATAAAATTATTTTTTAAAAATAAGAATTCCTGGCCAGGCACGGTGGCTCATGCCTGTAATCCCAGCACTTTGGGAGGCTGAGGTGGGTGTATCACCTGAGGTCAGAAGTTTGAGACCATCTTGGTCAACATGGAGAAATCTCAACTCTACTAAAAATGCAAAAATTAGTCAGGCTTGGTGGAGTGGTCCTGTAATGCCAGTTACTTGAGAGGCTGAAGGGGAGAACTGCTTGAACGCAGGAGGTGGAGGCTGCAGTGAGCCAAGATGGCACCACTGTACTCCAGCCTGGATGACAGAGTGAGACCCTGTTTCAAAAAAAATAAGTGGTTTTTTTTTTTTTGAGATGGAACTGTCACCCAGGCTGGAGTGCAGTGGCAGGATCTCGGCTCACTGTAACTTCTGCCTCCCCCGGGGGCTCAAGTGATTCTCTTGCCTCTGCCTCTCGAGTAGCTGGGATTATAGGCACCCACCACCACACCCAGGTAGTTTTTGTATTTTTAGTAGAGACAGGGTTTTACCATGTTGGCCAGGCTGGTCCCGAACTCCTGACCTCGTGATCCACCCACCTCAGCCTCCCAAAGTGCTGGGATTACAGGCATGAGCCACTGTTCCCGGCCGAAAATTGAGTTTTTAAAATAAATTAGTTTTCATATATATCCATTTCATTCAAAATGAAATAACAGCTAAGAAGGCATCTTGGATTTCTAATCATTCTTAAATTCATCATCCAATCATTCTTGGATTTCCTTAAGCCCAATACCTTTTTAGGTTAGTTAAATCATAAAGTCATATATAAAGTAAGTGTTTTCAAACTGGGCTCATCTATGAAACACATAACAAATATACTCAATTACTAAATTGTGGGAGAGGCAATATTTTTTCCTTTTATTTTTTTTTAGATGGAGTCTCATTCTGTCGCCCAGGCTGGAGTGCAGTGGTGAGATCTTGGCTCATTGAGCAGGTTCAAGTGATTCTCTGCCTCAGCCTCCCAAGTAGCTGTGATTACAGGTGCAAGCCACCACGCCTAGCTAATTTTTGTATTTTTAATAGAGACGGGGTTTCACCATGTTGGCCAGGCTGGGTCGAACTCCTAACCTCAAGCGATTTGCCCACCTCGGCCTCCCTTAGTGCTGGGATTACTGTGAGCCACGATGCTCAGCCAGAAAAGCAATTTTAAATAAACTAAGGAATATACTCCAAATCGACTGCCTAAGACAGTTCCTTAGTTACCCAGTCAGAATCTGATTGTTCTCCTCTACCCTTTTTGAGGTGGCATCATGACACTAAACTACGTTAGATACCAATGTGCAGCACAGGTCAAGTTCACAATCACTCTAATAAATATACTAAGATATTCTTCTATACAGGCAGCAGGCTAAAATGCATCACATTTTTAAAAAATTGCCCCAAAGGAAAAGTTGAAAACAAAAGCACAAGTAGAAATGAGTAACATTTAACATTAAATAGCAGAAAATATAAAAGATTGGCAAAAAAGTGATAGAAAAATATATTACAGGCCTGGCACGGTGCCTCATGCCTGCAATCCCAGCACTTTGGGAGGCCAAGGTAGGTGGATCACTTGAGATCAGGAGTTTGAGACTAGCCTGACCAACATGATAAAACCTCGTCTCTATTAAAAATACAAAATTAGCTGAGCATGGTGGTGCACCCCTGTAGTCCCTACTACTCGGGAGGCTGAGGCAGGAAAATCGCTTGACCCTGGGAATCGAAGGCTACAGTGAACAGAAATGGCACCACTGCATTGCAGCCTGGGCGACAGAGCACGACTCCATCTCAAAAAACAAAAAGAAAAAGAAAGAAAAATG